TAGCATAACAATAGTATCAGGTTCCCTTTGAAGGCCTATGACTTGCCCAGCCCACAGGTTCTTGACTAAATTTACAGTATCAAGCAGGGTTTCCTTCCCACGAAACAGGCCCCACATCCAATCAGAAAGTACCTGGCTATTCCCATCATAATCGTGCCACTGTTGGGCCAATGGGTACTTCTTTTCGGGTAGGTCACTATTAAAGTTTGCAAGTTTCAAAGTTAGGTAGGTAAGACTGATAGAGGCTTTTCTCCACCTGTAGCCTGCAATAGCACATTCCAGAACTGTGAAAACTAGCCAGCAGAGAGGAGGCTTCCAGTTCAGTCCAGCTTGGTATCTCTGTGCTCTGTATTCAAAGTATGTGGTTGATGTCTTTAGTAATAGGGACTTACCATCAAATTCTGGTGGGCAACCAAGAGCAATGGTGAAAGCCTGGACTCCCTGACTGCACCTGAGCCCCCGACCAACCGTTGGTAAGGAGTTGTCTTACACCTGACATTGAGATTTTCATTTACTAGCCAATGGCTTTTTATGGGATTACTGTCCACTCATACAAGGTACCTGGGTTCAAATTCCAATGATTAAATTTTAAATAAGTGTATGAAATGGTAAGTTTCCAATCTTTTGGTTTTTCCCCATCCACCATTCTCTTCCACCCACCGCCACGTAGACCATTCCAACCCCAGTCTCTCAGCAGCCACTTTCATGTCACACTTGTAATAGAGATAGTAAAAATAAAAACAAAAGGGAGAGAAAAGGTGCACTGTACAGTGACACAGACAGGAGAGATGCCAGGAAAACTCTTGATGAGAGCAATGGTGAAACACCATTTCCAAAAGTCAGCGGCTTGGGAGTCCCAGACTGGCTGTGAAGTTCATTTTCAGGAAACAGAAGTAAGAATTCCCTAACTGTATGCAAAATCGTGTGGGTAGAACACCATGGATTGGGGGGAAGGAACCTTAAAACAGAGCCCTCCTTACCACTGAAGTGGAAATGGGGAACAAAGATCCAAGTGACCCAGTAACCATCAGAAAGGACCATCCAGGGCACTTCCTGGATGAGGCCAGCATTGATGCCCAGTCTCACAAAGAACCATTCAGAGGTGTAACAGGCATTTGGGACCCCAGGAAGGAACACCAAGAAAGCTGAGAATGGAAGGGTAGGACCTCATTCACATGCACACATATACCCAAGCCATGCTTCCCTTCACATGAATTTCTCCTTCACTGAATACCTGGTATCTATGCTGGAGGCCAGGCACTTTCTCTGTTCTTTAATTTTTCATTTTCATTTTCATGGGCTTTCCCAAAGAACACAGGCTGGCCTCAGGGTCTCTTTGGCCCAGACTCCTAAGACCTGGACTCTTCTTGGTTATCAGATTGAATTTCTTTACCTTTCTCTTTTCATTCTACCTTTAGCCAAAACTGCCTCATTCCCCACCCTGCCCCCTGTCCCCATGTTGTTTCCTCATTCTATTTAGTTTTTCCCTCTTCTCATTTTTTTCTCAATATGAATCACAAGTCATTCTGCTTTTTCCCTTCTACTCATATGCATAAGACATAATATCTTCATGATTCTGTTCTATTAATATTCATTTACTTCTTACAATGAGTGGGTATTAATGGGTGATCATTTGTTACTTGGCTATTACCACATGCTCTTGGTGGGTTTTCACTTTGATAGCAATCATTTTTGTTCAGATAGTGTCTACTTTCAGGGGAGTACTAGGGCCTAGCCTGATGCCCCAAACACCAACCAAGCAGAGAAAAAATTCCATCCAACCTTATTACAACCCAGTCACCTTTTTTTATTTGAATTACAAACAAGATTGAGTTACATGACAATCCCAGTTCCCTTCTCCCTCCCTTCCTCCCCTATCACCCCCCCAACTAAAACCCTACCTATCACATATCCTTTCTTCTAATCTACACCTGACTCAACCTTTCTGCTCCCTCATGACCTCTGCATCCTTCCTGTTCTTCCCTTCTTATTCTCCTAGCTCCCTCCCCCCTCTTCCCATGCTCTCAATTTGCTCGGGGGATCGTGACCCTTTCCCCTTCTCCAGGGGACAAAGTTTGTCTCTTTTAGGGTCCTCCTTGTTTACTAGTTTCTCTGGTAGTGTGGACTGTCGGCTGGTAATCCCTTACTCTATGTCTAAAATCCACATATGAGTGAGTACATACTATTTTTGTCTTTTTGTGATTGACAACCCAGTCACTCTTAACATTTTGAATATTCCTGTTAAAAGAAAAGTCCTATTTTAAAAAAATTTCCCCTCAACCGAAGAATGGATAGAGAAAATGTGGTACATTTACACAATGGAGTACTACTCAGCAGAAAAAAAACAATGGAATCTTGAAATTTGCAGGAAAATTGATCGAACTCGAAGAAACCATTCTGAGCGAGGTAACCCAATCACAAAAAGACAAACATGATATGTACTCACTCATATGTGGACCTGCTTTATGATACATAGTAGTGACCATGCTTTATCAGAGCTGATGCATAACATACTGCTATTATTGGTCTTTTTATATAAATATAAATATATATACATATATAATTTGAATTTTTGGAAACTTTAGCTGTGCTGTCAACTTTGGAAAAAAGTATCCCAGTTTACCGTGTTGACTTGGCATTGTACAGAAATTAACAGCCATATTGGTCTAGAAATGTTGAACTTAATTTTTTCCATTTGTACAGGGTAACACACTGTATTAAATATGTAAGGTCTTATCTACATGGGTTTGATTACAAAAACTAAGGTATTCTCTAAATAAAAAAAAAAAATTTCAAGCAGTACCCAACTTGAATGATCCAGCCCCAATACAAAACGCAAAAGTATGAAAACCAAAGACACTATAACTCAGTGCTCTGAGGAAGGCAGAGGAGGTGAGGGAGCTATGGAGGCTGCTGAGGGATGAGGACGAGGTAGGGTGTCCATAAAAGCAGGAGTCTGAAACCTGGTGGTGTGCGTCACAGTGCCACGGGCAGGCCCCGCAGAAGCTTCGAGGCAAAGGATGGAAGTGAGCAAAGTTCACATTCCAGGACACCTGGATTTGTACTCACATCGTTCGCTTCAGGCTTCCCCTTGCTCTTCCCTTCACGGCTCTACTCTTGGGTTTCCTCTCGCCATCTGCAGAGCTGGACTTTCTACCCATCCAGAATTATATCCAGCATCACTCTACCTACCCATCCCTAAAGGACACTTACTGTGCAGTCTCCACCCACCCCTCTGTCACTCCTGTCTTCCTGTCATCTCCCCATTTGGATACTAAAAGGGTGGCACTTGTAAACTAGAGAATTCAATCTGATCTTTTTAAGTCTGTTTTTAATAATCTTTCCTTTTAATTAATTTTATCTATTTATGCTTAATATAAGTATTAATGTAGTGGAGTTAGATCTGCTATTCACTGCTTGATTAGTCTTTTTACCATTTTTTTCCTTTTATTTAAAATAATATTTGATTTTTTATAATTTATTTTTAGTAAGCCACTGTTGATCTTTTAAGCACTTACATTGGCATTATCTCCTTTGTATTTTCTCTTCATCGACCCTTTGGACACACTTTTAATGACGTATTTGAGTTTCTTGACTACTGAGTTATCATTCTATACTTTTTTGGAGACAGTGTCTTAACTATGTAGCCCTGGTTGGCCTGAAAGTCATTGTGTAAACAAGTCAGGCTGGCCTCAGACTCACAGAGATCCCCCTGTCTCTTCCTCCCAAGTCCTGAGATTAATATCATGCACCACCACTCCTGGTTTATCTTTCTAATTTTTATTGATATTGATGACTTCTTTATATATATTTTATATCCCTCATGGATTTAAACATCACAAATATCTTCCCCCGCTCTTATGACTTCTCCTTTTATTCTCATAGTAGTTTCGATTTATTTTTATTGTTATTTATGCATATGTGTATGTCTCTGTACGTGAGTCTGCCATGTGTGCAAGTGCTCTCTGAGGCCACAGGAAGTGTCAGATCCCTGAATGTACCTCTTTCAGTGCTGGGATTAGAACTCTGATCCTCTGGAAGAGTAACAAGAGCTGTGAATCAGTAAGCCATCTCTCCAGTTCTAAAAGAAGTCTTTGATATTGTTGTCATAAGTCATAAGCTACAACTTCTCAACTATAAAAACAGGCTGCATGGTAGAATTTCATTCACAGGGTTTATTGGAAGAATAAATAAGACGACATGTACTCTCAGCACAGTGACTGGCATTTAGAAACACTTACTAAATACTATTCTTTTTTTCTGCCTTCCCTACCCCCATCTAACCTATTTCCTGTTTCTGAACCTGTTAGAAAAAACGGGTAACATACGCAATTCGGTGGAGCAGGTGAAGGGACCCGATTTTCACAACACAGGGCAACAGCAGGATAACCAAGAGGAGTTCCAGTGAGGGTCCAGCATCGATAGGATAACAGAAACTGAAGGTCTCTAACCAGACCAATGACTCTTTGCAAGGAACACTTGCAAGTAAAGAGATGTGGGAAAGGGGGTGCTGTGTGACTCACTGTGTCACACGGCAGCTTCCATGACGAGATTGATTTTCCCTTCTCTTTCCTTTTTTTCTCTCTTTTTTCTCTTAAATTTTATTTTATTTTTATTGGGGGGTTGCAAGAGCAGAAGATGGATATAAAGGGACGGGGCAATGGATGGGATGAAGATGCTTGATGTGAAAGACACAAAGAATAAATAGAAAGAAAGAAAACAACTTCGCAAAAAGTAGTAACAGGTAAAATAAAAAAGGCAAACCATTTCTATTTAAAAATTCCTACAAAGTGTGTGATTCCTTACCTGTAATAGAAAATAAGAGCCTTGTCAATCATTTTTCCCTTCCTTTTGGAAATCCTAGTGCTGCGACAGAAGATGAGACGAGGCATTCTAACGTGACTCCTCCTACCTGATTTAAATCCCAGCTGAGGGATAGAAGAGCCAGATGTGTCAGCTTGCGTTTTCTTCCTCTGACTGACTGACAAGCTGGAAACGATATGGCTGGTTTCTCCACATTCATCATCTTTACCTCTGTCCTCTGTCAGCTCCCAGGTGAGTCTAACCCTATCTTGGCCCATTCTCCTCACCTCCTCATCTGGAGGTGTAATCCCAGGCTCCCTGGTCCACTCTGGAGCCTCCACATCTTTTAGCACTGCTTTCTAATAAACCACTGATCACTGGAAAGAGAAGAAAAGAGACAGCTGTTGGAACTAAGTCCCTTCTGACTGGGAAGAAGAGACTGAAGTAACTGGGGCTGGGTTTTAGAGACCTGTGTTCTGATTCAGATCTGTCATGACTTAAATGGACAATGCCATTGCTATCCTGGGCTTCAGGGTCTCGCTCTTTTAGCCTTCCCTCCTTTTGAGAACAACATTAGAAGTAAAGTTATACAGCTATGTATTTATTCATAAACATTTTAATTAATATGTTTCTAAATGATGGTGTATAAGAGTGAGATCAATGGAAGCAATCATTTGAATTTATTTTCTCTTAACCCAAGCAATCCAATCTGCCCCTACTTAGAAAATTAATTAATTATAGGTACTCTATGTTCACTCGTGTGAAGGACTGGAGGTCTTATGACCCTGTCATTAGCATGATGGTAATGAAAGATTTTACTATACTCAATGTTCTCTGACACGTGGGGTACCACCATGAGGGTGCTCTCTCTCTCTCTCTCTCTCTCTCCCTCTCTCTTTCTCTCCCTCCCTCCCTCTCCCTCTCTGTCTGTCTCTGTCTGTCTCTCTCTCTCCCTCTTTCTCTCTCTCTGAGGGGCTTTCATAACTGTCATATCTGTTCACAATAAACCTACCTGAAATAACTTGCTCCCAAACCACACAACCTTTTCAGTCTTTTCCTTCTCATACCAAACCATGCTAAGTGACTCTACAGACTGTCGCTCCTCCTTGAATTCATCAAAGCTTGCTAGGAAGCACCTGGCCCTAAGTAGATTGCCCTAAAACACTCTTGATTCTAAAATTACTACCTGAACGGAAATGGTGATCAGAATTAGAATTTGAAAAGGAGATGGGGGAGGGCATGGCAGAGCTTCAAAAAGCCCAGGTGCTCACCTGGGAGAAATGCATAGTGCGTAGCATGTTGGGTATGTAACCTGAGTCCCTGATACTCTACTCCAGTAGGCTGTGGACAGTCTGGTATTACATCTCCCATGGCTGAAAAGAGTCGGAGATTGTCCTAGAATGTCCAAAAGGCAGAGCAGTGGAAGCAGGACAGACCCTGGAAACAAGTTTTCTAGTTTAACTTTGTACTGGATTGCTGTGAGCGAACATCTTGGTCCTTTGAACTTTCCCTCTCTGTGCATAATGAATTAACTTGCAGAGTTACTGTGATGTTTTAAAGTGAGATAGCAAAAGCAAACTAATTAAATAATAATTGCCATTTAAGTTCCTAATTTTACTATACTCAGTGTTCTCTGACAAAAGGGGTACCATCATGAGGGTTCTCCTCTCTCTCTGTCTCTGTCTCTGTCTCTGCCTCTCTCTCTCTCTCTCTCTCTCTCTCTCTCTCTCTCTGAGGAAGAGTTTCCACAGCTGGCGCTATCTCCAGCACACTAAACAATAACAATAACAACACTGGAAAGGTGTTCAGTAAAAATGCATTTGAACTGAGTCTCCCATAGCGAGAGCCAGATGGGATTTCTTCCTTCTCTAGGTACAGGAGCCCAAGATAGGGATTGTAACAACCCTCAGCAAACACATAGCACTGTTTTGGGGGCTTGGCTATACCAATGGGATGCCGCTCTGGACAATTTGACAGGAGCCATGAGGCTAACTCTCGAAGCCTTGATGTTCTCATCAGGATAAGGAGGACAGCAGTCTGTTCCTCTGAGTGTTTTGCAATGACCAAGTCATGCAGTGGTTTTAAGGAAAACAAAGATGAGTGAGGGGTGTGGAGGACCGCTGCAAAGAAGCAGAAGAAACACCGAGAAGGGGGTGGGAAACAAACAAGAGGCAGAGTGGTGATGGACTTCGATGCAAACGCAGCAGGCTGGATGTGCCAGACAAAGAGCGTGACAGTGGGAAAGAGTGAGTTCTGTTGTGCGTGTACCCCGTGGTATTGACTTACAATGCAATTTTCAGGGACATTACAAAAGAAGCTAGCGAAAGGGCCACCCATTTCAAACCACTCATTTTTTTGTTTGGTTGTTTAGGTTTTTGTTGTTGTTGTTTTGGATTTTTTGGGTGCCCCCCCCCCCCGGCCCCGCTATGGGAGCAGTGTTCTTCACTTACTAACAGAACAAACACATAAATGATTCTACCTGTAGTTGAAGCCTCAATGGCAATGAAGAAGCTCCAAGTCTTGGCCCTCTGTTCTTTGTGCCTCCCCCTGAGCTCCCCAGAAAGATGGAGATTTTTGAGACTCCAACTGTAACGAGAGGTACAGGGGAAATCTTGCCTTTAGCACCTTGGTTCCAGGCCTCCCTCTAGAAACCGGTCTTCTCATCTGAGAAACGGAATGGAATCAGACCCTCCTGAAGCGTCCTCCCAGTTCTGAGATGCTCTGTTCTTGACTTCCATGAAGAAGATGGTCCGATGTGGTGATGCATTTGTAGCATTCGCTGACAGGCAGTGGAGCTTTGCCAGGCCTCTCCCCTGTGTTTTCTGAAAAGTTTCTACATCCTGATAAGCCTCTCTGCCCATGCAGCAATCCAAATCAGACCAAATCAAACCGAATTAGAAAAATCTCACATTTAATGGATACAACACTCTCAGATTGCCTTTCAGTCCTCCAGAGAGGAAACGGGGGAAGAAAAAGAGACCAGAAAACCATGAGTCTATTTTCAGGGGGCAGTTTAAATACCCTGTGGAAGTGGTTTTGAGCATCTCTGGGTGAGGAGTCATCATTTGGCGGGTTTTCTGAGATGCAGCAGGGTTTGGAGAGAGATGGGGGAGGGGGATTGGGTGGAATTTCCTCCATAATATCCCAGACTCTTTGGGTATGGATGCCATGTCCTGGGGTGACGCTTGCCTGGCTTGCCTTCCTGGGGTGGTAACTGTATCTTGTGGTTTCATATTCCTACTTTTCTACTGGCCTTTTTGGAGAATGTAACAAGAGGGAGAAGTGAAAAGAAGAAAGGGCACTGACATGAGGGAGGAGATGTTGTCTCATTCTGCTCTGAAATGTATCTCAGAGATGATGGTACTCCCGACACCAAAGACAGAAAGGCAGAAGGCGGGCAGTCTCCTGGTCTAGCGCCGCCCACCGCTCCAGGGTGGGAGCAGGCTGCCTGGGAGATGTACAATGTGTTGCCTGAACTCCAGAGTTACTGCTGAGTTTTGTGAACTATTTTCTCCCATATTTCACTAGTGAAACTTGAAAAATGGGAAGCCTTGGCTGCCAGGCTGTCTGCATCTGTCAAATCAGCTTCTTTCAGATCTGCATTCACTCTTCAACTTCCCCACATTCCTAGGACCTGAAGGTGTTTTTCTTTAAGTAAGGTATCAGAGAACTGAAACTCAAAATGGTAAATTAAAAATAAAAGAAAAATCAAAACACAGGCCTCTGAGATGAAGGATCTCTGCCCCTCCCCCCTCTCTCAAACTGGGGTTCACACTCGGGCCTCATGTGCATCCACAAAGATAGCTACCACTGAGCCACACCACTGACATTTTTGTGGTCTTAGAAGAGTCAATGAGCCCTAGTACCCTCATTTATAAACTGCAATGTGTTAGCTCTTGTCCCCTGGACTTGTTCAGAAGACCAACAAAGATAAGCCCATCAGACTGGCTTACAGATACCAAGTGTTTGTCTCTAGAATTACGACTGTGGAGGAGCCAGAGTGGATCCTGGGTCCCCTGACTCCCACTGAAGACAGATTCCTTTTTCATCCTGCAGCATTCTGGTAGGAAGAGAGGTCATCATATCCTTCTGTGGCACAGGGTAATCTCCGACATAATGCTTGTAGACTAGACGTTGGCTAATTCACACAAAAAAAGAGACATGTCCAGTCACCACCAGGTAGGGATATTTCTTTCTTGAAAAGTTAAAGTTAAAATAAAGGAACACATATGAGGAGATATTCCAGAGGTATGGCTTTGAACAAGGTTTTGAATAAGATTCTTTTCAGATAGACAGAGAAGCTGAAGCACAAAAATAGCATAAAATCAAAACTGAACCAAGGGGCCAACAATATGGCCTGGCAGGTAAAGGCACTTGTCATGCAAGTCTGTCGATCTGAGTTCAAACCCCAGAAAGGAGAGGTCAGACTTCATAGTTGTTCTCTGGCTTCTACATGGCACACCATGGCATGCCCCCCCCCCACACACACACATACATATATAAAGTATGTGAATGTGCGTGTACACACACACACACACACACACACACACACACACACACACACACACACACACACACACACTGAGGATCAGGAAAGAGAAGAGACCTGGATACTTATCCATTGACAACAGGTGAATTTTGTGTTTTCCACAGCCTTAGATCATTATCTTCGCCTTAGAGCTAAAGCCCAGGCTTCTCTCAGGTCGTGTGACAACTTCTAGGACATGTAACAACTCTAAGGAAATCACTGTGCCAGAGGAGAATATCACTTAAGCTGAGTTCTAGCAGACTTACCCAATCCACTTGGCTGCTACGGAATGTGAGGTGAAATGGTCGCAGAAGAAATAAGCTATGCTGTTCCCTGCTGGAACTGTGGCATCAGAGGCAGGTGGCTGAGTCCCACGGGACCCAGACCTTCAGGAAGGAATTGGCAGTCATGCATTCTCTAGCAAACACGCGAAGCCTATAGCCCGAGGGCTACATATTAGCTCAAGAAAACCAGGAATGTGGACCAGTACAAAATTGGAAACATACTTAAAACATTATGTGATTGTTCTAGTAACTCTACTATGCGGTTCTCACGGGCAGATTATTCAGATGGCTGTCATGGTGCTATGTCAAAAGGCTGGGCAGACTTGTGAGTCCAGACTCTAGATTCTTCTGTTTCCACGGGTCAGGTTAAGCCCTCCCATGGACCCCTCACTGCACTCACTAGTTCCCTTCTGGTAGCACGTAGCTGCTTAATTGTTGATTTCTCGCAACTTTGTAAGTGCAAGAATTATGACCATCTTGCCCAAGTCCTCAATTCTGTCTTTAGCTCCTAAAAAAGGCCCAGCATAGCAAACATGATCTGCTTAGATAAGAGCAAACTGCAGAGTCACACCTGGAGGTGGTAAAAACAGCACAATAAAAAGTTTCGCTTTGAACAATTTGTTAATGTCTCTAGTTTCTAGATGCCACCTCTAGTCACTGGGATAACAGAACTAAACCGGCTAGAATTTACCAACACTGCTCTTTGTTCCTTAGCCCATTGTTTAAGAAATGGAGGGAGCTGGGGTTTTTTGTTTGTTTGTTTGTTTGTTTGTTTGTTTGTTTTTCCAGCTAACCTCCTTTTCCATCCTGAAGATACTCTTTAAATTGGAACAGTAGTCTGGGGAGGGTGGCACTTCAGGGGTGGAGGCAGGAAGATAAGAATTCAAGACTGTGGGGCTGGAGAGACGGCTCAGGAGTTGAGAGCAATTTGTTGCACTTGCAGAGAACTTGAGTTTGATTCTCAGCACCCACATGGTGGCTCACAACCACCTGTTAACTGCAGTTCCAGGGTATCTAATGCCCTCTTCTGACTTTGGCATGCAGATGGTATACATACACACACACAGACAGAACACTTAGACACATAAAATCAAATTTAAAAATCTAAAAAGCAAATACTTTTAATTGGAACCTGTTGAGGATGGAGCCAGGCTTTCAAGTTTACCATAGAGCTTGGTCTACTCAGCTGGGAGTCTCTGAGAATGTGGTGTGGTGGTGGTAGATGACTTTGCAGACAGAAGGTTCTAATCTCAATGCTTTTGTGTAGGCGGAGTTCTGCTTGTATTAAACTTAGAGATATTCCTCAAGGTCTTCCAAGGACCCAAAGAATGTGGTAATTTGTGGCAAGAGCTTACATTACGGTTTTCTGTGTCTGCAGTGACAGCAACTTCTGGACCTCTGAAGGAAGTGGTTGGTGCCCTTGGTGGATCTGTGACCTTCACTGTGAGTTTCCCAGAAAAACAGATTGACACTGTTATATGGACCTTCAATACATTCACTGTTGCCATCGTAAATAAGGACAATGCCAAAGTGCTCCAAAATCCTAAGAAAGAAAAAATACTCTTCCCAGATGGAAGCTACTCCATGAAACTCAGCCAGCTGAAGAAGAATGACTCGGGTGTCTACCGTGCAGAGATTCACAGTACATCACTTCAGTCTCCCTTCACCCAGGAGTATGTGCTGTATGTCTATGGTGAGCAGGCTCAGTTCTAATAGTGGATGGCAGGCATATGGACGCAGTGGATAGCGGATGGCAGGCATACGGGCGCAGTGGATAGCGGATGGCAGGCATATGGACGCAGTGGATAGCGGATGGCAGGCATACGGGCGCAGTGGATAGCGGATGGCAGGCATATGGACGCAGTGGATAGCAGATGGCAGGCATATGGGCGCAGTGGATAGCGGATGGCAGGCATACGGACGCAGTGGATAGCGGATGGCAGGCATACGGACGCAGTGGATAGCGGATGGCAGGCATACGGACGCAGTGGACATCCCAATGCAGTGAATGTCCAAGTTAAGTTTTGGTAATCACACAACAAGGATCAGGGAGCAGACTGACCCACAAGGTCTCTGCTTACTTTGAGATTCTGTAAGAGGCTGTGCGCTGTAGATGATGGGCAACGTAAGAAGTGGCTATCAGCTGGACAGTGGTGGAGCATGTCTTTAGTACCAGGATTTGGGAGGCAGAGGCAGGCAGATCTCTAAGTTCCAGAACAGCCAGTTCTGCAGAATGAGTTCTAGGACAGCCAGAGCTACACAGAAAAGCCCTGTCTCAAAATCAAAACAAAAATGACCAAAAAAGTGGTTATCACACAGACTGAAGCTAATGTACATGGCCTTAGCCATGTTACTTTAAGTCTTAGTTTCCGTGTATGTAAGTAGGACAACGGTGCCCACCTTAAGAAGATCATTAGATACAAATTAATTACATTCCTTCCCCTACAAACTCTAAGCAACTGAGAAATAGAGCCAAAAATCAGAACTAAGATAACAACCAGCTATGTTATGCATGTAGTTGTAGCTACTCTGGAGGTTGGGACAGGAGAATTGCTTGGGCTAGAAAGGCAACAGAAAGGTAGAGAGGGAGGGAGGAAAGAGAAACCACTCAATGAAGTTAAACTTGCAAAACAATCACTCAGCTCTCTACCAGAAGAGTTACTTGTCTTGTGCACTGCACTACAGTATCAGAGAAACCAGGAGATGGGACATAAGACTTACTTGCATGAGGGGGGCAATGCACCTTGATCCAGGCTTATGTTCCATAGAGACACTGTAGAAGGGAACAAAAATCAGACAATCTAGCTGGGGAAAGGATGAAAAGGAAAAGGGTATCTGAACAGAAACATTTAATGGACCAAGCTCTAGGATAGATAACAAATGCCAGACTCTCACAATCTCACCAACAAACCATTTGCTGATCCTCTAAACATAAAGGACTGGGCACAAGGTAGCAAGCAGTATTACTGCAGTATTATTTTCTCCTGGAGAGGAGAAAGGAAAGTGTGTTCAAGGAAGTCTGAGGACAAGCAATAGTAAGCCTCTGTCTAAAGATCAGATAACATCTAAAATACAAGTAAGCACAGTGCTTGCCCAGCAGCTAGGCTTAGTGAATGTCTCTACGTTGTTGTTGCATGATTATTTCTGCTGTAATCGCTGCTGTTCGTATTCTTGCTCTATAACCCCCCGGGCCAAGCAGACTTAAGAGGTCTCTTTCTCAGATAAGAATTAGACATTCCACTCCGAACTGTTGCTTCCTTACCCTTCTTGGACTTCCTAGGGAAGCTGAGCTCGGGGACTAACTTCCCTCCTCTGTTGTGCTATGTCTTTTACAGAGACTCTGTCAGCACCAAAAGTCACCACGGATGAGCAACCCAGCAAGAATGGCAGCTGCACAACAAAACTGACATGCTCCGTGGAAGAGGAAGGAGACAATGTGACTTACAGCTGGAAAGCCATCGGGCAGGGAGCCCATGAGCTTCATGATGGTGCCATCCTCCCCATCTCTTGGAAATTGGGAGAGAAAGAAAAGACCTTAATTTGCATGGCCAGGAATCCCATCAGCCACAGTTCCTCGAACCCCGTCCTTGCCCGGAATCTTTGTGAAGGTGCCAGTCTTCTCTTCCCGGGAGCCTCTGGTTGGAGAAATATATCTTCTTTAGCTGCCAAGTCCCTATGAATACAGGCTCTGATCAACTAGAGAGAGGCCTCAGGGAGAGCAGCAGGCTGGGAGGAAATTGGAATTTAGGTCCTTTTCCCTAGCTGACTCCACCACATATCCGTGCTCCTCATGCCTCTCCTCGTTTTCTCTTAAAGATACTGCCAACCTGGACAAAAGTTCACCCAGGTTCATCCTATACACTCTACCAGTGGCCATCGTGTTCAGTCTCACGCTGATTATTGCCTTTGCTGTTCGGACAGAGAAAGGAAAAGGTAAAGCATGTGTGGTTTGTTTTTGTTTTTGTTTTTTTACTTCATTTTTTTCTCCCTTTTATTCCTCATGTAATACATCAATGTGTGTGTGTGTGTGTGCAAATTTAGAGTTAAAGATGTAAGAGGCCATGGTCTCTTCCCTTAAGAAGCTTATGATCAACGGCTAGAGAGAGGTCATTCAGTAAAGTGATTGCCATAAGAGTGTGAGGACCTGAGTTTAAACCCCAGAGCTCACATTTGAAAAAGAATCCAGATGTGGAAGCACGCACTTGCAATCCCAGCCCTGGGGAGGTGGAGATAGGTGGACCCTGGGGCTTATACTCGCCAGCTATCCTAGCCTAACTATTTAGTTCCAAGCAAGCAAGAGACCCTGTCTCATAAAATACGGGAGACAACACCTGAGGAACAACACCCAAAGTTGACCTCTACCCTTCCCACACCTGTGCATGCACTCGCGTGCACACACACCTGTACCTCTTCACACATGAATATGAACACACACATATGTGTACATACACAAACAGGAGTGCACAGGCAACTGCATGCCTTACCTCCAAACTGGAGAGAGTATCACTTGCCTTCTCTCTTGAGGACAGGGTCCCTCTCTAGTGCCTACTCCTGTCCTTCCTTCAGGAGGATGTGGCCCTTCTGATGACACAGGTCATACATAGCTGATTCTGCTCCTGCCCAGCAGGCACTGGTCTCCCTGCCCTCCTTGTCCTCATCCCTGTCAGAGCCCCCAGCCAGCCTATCGCTTCTACTCAAGATTCAGCATCAAGATTCCTCTTTCCTCTTCACCTCAGGCTAGACACATTCGTCTTTTTTATTATTAATTCTTTTTGATTAATTTGGTTTTTGCATTCCAATCCCAGTTCCCCCTCCCTCCTTTCCTCCTCTCCCTCCTCTCCCCCCTCCTCCCATCTGCTTCGTGGAGAGGGTAAGGCCTCCCACAGGAAGTTTACTAAGTCTGTCCTATCATCTTGTTGAGGCAGGACCAAGGCTCCTCTGCACCCCCACACCCCTGTGTCTAGGCTGGACATGGTATCTCTCCATATAGAATGGGCTCCACTAAGTCAGTTTGTACATTAGTGTTAGGTCATGGACCCACTGCCAGTGGCCTCATATATTGTCCCAGTCACACCATTGTCACCTATATTAAGAGAGTCTAGTTCGGTCTTATGCAGGTTCCCCATTTGTCAGACCTGAGACAGTGATCACTCACTAGCTCGGGTCAGCTGATTCTGTGGGTTTTCCCATCATGGTCTTGACTCCTTGGTTCATATTATCGCTCCTCCCTTACTTTGATTGTATTCCAGGAGCTTGGCACAATGGTTACTTGTGCAGATCAGATTTCTGCATCTGATTCTGTTTCTGGAAGAGGGTTCAAGCTTCTCTGGGGTTTTGGATTGTAGGATGGGTATATTTTGCTTTATGTCTGGTATCCACTTACGAGTCAGTGCATACTATATTAGTCTTTCTAGTTTTGGGTTACCTCACTTAGAATGGTTTTTTATAGTTCTGCCCATTTGCCTGTGAATTTTAGGATGTCATTGTTTCTTACCACTGAGTAGTACTCCATTGTGTAAATATACCACATTTTCTTTATCCATTCTTCAATTGAGGGGCATCTAGGCTGTTTCCAAGATCTGGCTATTACAAATAATGTTGCTAGACAGATTCCTCTTGTATAAGCCTTTCTCTGTCTCTCCACACTGTGTCCCAAAGCTCTCATTTGTCTCCTCTCTCCCCTACCGGTGCTATCCATGGTGGAAGCAAAAGTAGGCTATGGAGGGAAAATTGCAGCAATAGTAAGGTATGAATGCAAACTTTGAGACAGTCTTCTTCTTTGTCAGAGGCATTCTGGAAACATTCCTGACCTCCTCTGATTCCCAGTTTGGCCACCTTGATTTGGAGATTGGGAAATGGAGTGACAGAGTGGTTAATTCATCCTGATTTGTCCAGAATTGTCTCCATTTTAACACTGAAAGTTCCCTGTCCTAGAAAGTGTTTCAGTTTCAGAGTGACTAGGATGCTCGGTTGGTCCCCCTGAGTAGACCACCCAGGTTTGGTGGGGCAGGGGAGATGCTGAGTGGTAAGAGAGGCAGACTTTGAGTCTCTCAACCTGTTTTCAGGCTCCAAGAAAGACACAGAGAGAGTGGACAACTTCTGTCCCTTGGAAGAGAATACAGAATATGCCACAATCCCTTATATTAACGTGAGTCCTTTTCCATTTTTTTTTTTCTGTGATCAGAACCTTCTCGCCAAGGCTTTCCTTACTTCACTTGAGACTATCCCCTACAAGATTGGGTAGCATGGAAAAAGGAAGGGGGATTAACATGTGTAACTAACTTTAGTCACTCTGCCTCCCCCACACCTTACTCATGTCCTTGCAGTTCTGCCCCAAACCTGTGACACTCATGTGAGCAGTTACATGAACCACCTCTTCCTTTTTACAGTTTACGACGGCGGTCTTTACTTCCTCCCAGGAGGTTGGAAACTAGCCTGCTTTGTAGCCTATTCAACTTACTAAGTCAAAATTTATCACTTTGGCATCTTCTCCTTCTCTTGGTCAGGTTACACCCAAAGAAACTGCAAGACTGTCCTGCGTGGTCAGGAAATAAACTCCAATCATGAGTCTTTGTTGTTGGCAATGCTTTATTTAGGTTCATTGGGCATCCTTACTATTTCTCCAAGATACCTCAAACTACTGGATAAGCCAGTTTACCACACTGACACTATAATTTCATATTAGCCTTTAGCCACCTTGGGAGACTCATAGTTCATGAGAGATATCTCAATATATTTTGAAATTCATTGAAACATAATACAGAAAATAATGCAATAAAGAAAATTTATAAAATATGGATAAAAGGCAATGGCTTTAAAAAACTGATTAATAGGCATTATTATAGCAGTTACTAGCAAGAGCATTTCTATGCCTACCCCGGAACCTTCTTTTTCTTCTATGTTCTCTTACATATATTTTGCTTTCTCTGGATTGCATGTCTCCCTTGTCTAGCGTATGTGACTCAGATGTTAGGTACTAATTGTGTTTGTTTATTAATAGGAAAGGAGTCTGGAAGATGATGCAGCAAACACACTTTATTCCACTGTGCAGATCCCCAAAGCAGTAAGAACCGTTAAGGCTGACTCTCATCTTAACTGTCGATCTCTTTCCTGGCTCCTGTTCAGGTTCACATTTCATTGGGATTTTCAGTCCCTGGTATTAAAACAGGCCCCGGCCAGCCCCTCATGTCTACCTGCAGGTGGAGAGTCCTCACTCCCTGCCAGACATGTCAAGGCCATTTAGCTTTGTGTCTGTACCTAGACAGGTTTTTCAGGGCTTTGCTTGAGGTTACCCAAAAATATAAGAAATAGATGAAAACTGTGTTTTAGAAGTCCAAATTGGTGACCTGGAACAGACAGAGTGGGAGGAGGGTTCTAGATTGGATTGATTAAAGAAAGTCAGGAGGATTCTGTCTAGAGTAATGAGTGAGGGGAAGGGCTATCTACAGCTTGTGTTATGCACAGGAGGAGGAGCAGGTAACTGGAGGAGGGAGATTTTCTTGCTCTGGCTGTATCACATCTGCTTTGCATCCTCCTTGCCAAACCTCAAATGTGATGAGATACATGGCGTGTCTCTTCACCACTGGTGCTTTGCAGAAACAGTCACCTTCTTGTCTGTTTCCCTTTCTTCTGCAAAACAATTGAAAAGATAAGAATGCTTGCTGGTGAATGTTTCTTTCCCACCTGCCAGTTCCCAGATAACCATCACAGAGACTCAATATTAATTAAAAATGTTCGGCCAATAGCTCAGGCTTGTTAATAGTTAACTCTTACATTTTAAATTAACCCATATTTCTTATCTATGCTTTGTCATGTGGCTTGATACCTTTTTTTAGTATGGCACGCCCATCTTGCTTCTCTCTGTGTCTGCTGGTGACTCCAGACTCTACCCTTCTTCTTTCCAGCATCCTCCTAGTCTGGCTCTCCCACTCAATCTCTTCCTGCCTAGCTATAGGCCAGTCAGTTCTTTATCAACCAATGAGAGTAATACATATTCACAGTGTACAGAAGGATTATTCCACAGTGGATGCTGAAGATGATTTTCTTAGTGATAGAAACACTTACAAATTTATTGTAAGACAGCTCAGTTTGTAAGGCATGGAGAAAGATAAGTTTATTTCCCTCTAGAATGATCTATCTAAGGTAAAAGTAAACAGGAGGACTGTAAATGAAGGAGCTATGGGTTGGGATGATGGGTCTTCTATGAGAGATCCAGAACTCTGTTCACATGCAGTGTTCTTTCCCATGTCTGCCCGCAGGTGAAGAGTCCCAGCTACCTGCCTGCAGAGCCACCTATGTGGAGGCAATTAAGCTTTGAAAATATTATCTAGACAGCAGTATTCTCTCATCTCACAGGAGAACAAAAAGAATTCACTATTCTCAGCCGAAATGGAAACTTCCACCATGGATTGAATATAATTGCCTGCCCACCAAGCCCATGTATTTGCGTACAGATGGCGAAGGCCAGGCTCAAGAAGTTTCAGGGAATAGTGACTATGGGGGATTGGGATAGAGCCCATTCATATTCCATTTAGTGGAGACAGCTTCTAATCAACGCGTTTAGACAGCATACTCCCTGTTTTTATTCATATCTATAGTAAGGAATCAAAACAAAAGGAAGAGGAAGATATGGAAAACATGAAGTTTGATAAGAGCATGAGAGCATTTAAAGCTGTGAAGAAATTGGGTATTCACAAAGCATCTGTAATGGCTAAAGAGATAGAGAGCAACCCCAGCCTCTGCTCTAGGACAATAGAAAAGGAGCACTGAAATCGAGTCCTTACCTATCAAGAACTCCAACTTACAAACCAAAAAGCCCATTTAAAAGTTTTCATTTAAAAGGAAGAATGTCTGGACACAGAGTGTCCACCTTCGTCACATAAGACTGGGAAAGTGCCGGATTCACCGGCACAGGTTCTCAGAGCCTGCTGAAGCCCTGACTCAAGGGGGTGTGGCTCTGTCCTGGACCAGCAGCAGAACTTGGCAATGTGCATATGCTGGTGGCTTGGCAGACAGGCAGAATGTGAAAGCTGGGAGCCGCTGAGGCATGCACCAAGGTTCCAGTGTGGGAAAAGCCAGGCGACGTATATCAAGGTTGATCTTTCTGAGTGGAACTGCCGTGTAATATGAAGGCAAAGCCTAAGCTGCAGTGTAGACTCTAGGATACTGGAGTTGCCAGGAACATGACGCATCTGCTGAGAAAACTCCAGGCAAGGAATATACCCAAGAAAAGAGGCCATGTGTGCTTGAGGCAGCAAGGCCATGAGAACAGGTCTCCCCAAACCCATTGGAGCATATATGATGTCACCATGATCCCGATACGGAGCTTCAGGGTTTACACTTCCCTGCTAGATTTTGACCTAGCTTTGGTCTGATCTTTCTTTGCTGTGCCCCATTCCTCCCTTTTAGAATGTGAATTTTTCCCCTCTGCCATTGTACATTGTAAGTATGTAAGTTTTTATATATATATTTTTAATGGGGGCTCATTTTTAATGGAAGAGTTTGTCTTCCATCTCATAAAAGACATTGGACAATGGACTGTTGTGTCTGGGGACTCCTGAAGTTCAAGGGCGTGAATTTTGCATTGTGTGATGATCTTGAACCTATGTGAGCCAAGGTGGGGATGTTATAGACTGAGTGTAAAATATGCTCCACCGGCTCATGTGTTTGAACCCTTGGTGTTCAGTTTGGACATCGATGGTGTTATTTAGGGATGTTATAGAACCTACAGAAGACAAGGCCTGCCCGGAGATGATGGGTCTCCAGGAGGCAGGCCTTGAAGGTGATATTCACTTCTGACTCTGGACTGAGCTTTCTGCTTCTACCTCAGGCAGAGTCCTGCCCATCATGATGTTAAGAAGCAACCATCGCAAACTCCCTCCAACACAGGCCAAGCCCCTTGAGCCATCATGCCTTCTGATAATGTATTTCAATCTCAGGAACTCAAAACCAAAATAACCCTCTACCACAAGAGTTGCTTCTGTCTGGGCCCAAAACAAGAAGAGCAACTAATACAACTTCCTTCCAGAAGAGCTACTCGTATGTTGCTTTGGGCTTGGGTTCATTTTTCCACTGCTAAGAACTCTCCTCAAACCCAGAGTCACAAATGTGACTGTGAATCTGTCAGTTAAGCCTAAGAAAAGGGGCAGCAAATGCTTTGACATGTAAGTATATTTTAATTAAGGCCCCAGGACAGGATCTCTCAAGTCCACCCCTCTTCCAGAACTTGAGATCAGAGCTATACTAGGAAACTGCTTGCCAGGACAGACAGACATGTCGAGCACAAGCAGATTTCACTGCCCAAAATGATATATTAATTTATTAATGGAATCACCAGCTATGTGCCAAGTACTGTGCTAAACTTGCATGGATAATTCCAACACACTCTGCTCTTGCTTGGTGCTTCAGGAACTACTTTACAGGGGACCACAGAGACAATGACTATTCAATCACTGGTGTTTGATGGCTTGAAAACCTTTATAGGTGTTTAATCTTTTTCAACAAATACTTGTTGAGAACTCATGCTAGGTTAGTCTTCTAGGTAAAACAGACATATTTCCTGCCTCATAGAGTTCATTTTATTTTTTTTTTGGTGTTATTAAAGAGACCTGGGAACACATAGAGCAGGTGTGTGTGTGTGTGTGTGTGTGTGTGTGTGTGTGTGAACGCGCGCATGCGTGAATTTGATGTGTTCCCAGAACCATAACTTATGTATCTTGAATGAGAATGCTAAAAGGGTGCCAGGGTTGAAGGATATTAATCAAGTAGGCAAATATATGTTTTAAAAAGGAGAAGCATGTTTCTAAAAAGAAGATGTATCGGGAATAAGGGAACGCTCCCAAGTATAAGATGGAAGCAAAACCAGAAACAAATCTACAAGAAAAAAAAAAAGAGGAAGCCAAAAAACGAGTTGTGGTTGATGGCTTGAGAAAAAACAAAAGCTAAAAATAGGATGTTTTCCCCTAATATATAACAATTCTGTCATGACCACAGAGGGCTGAGCTAGCCTCTGCCCAGAGCTATGTAGGCATCTGCCCAAGGTACAGATATAAATGTTATTAAATGCTGTAGATCACTGTATTTATTACTCTAATTTAAAAAAATAAGTAGTATTTAAATAAAATCAGTATGTAGTAGGGAAGGATTCCCCCAAAGTTCTCGTACAGGAGAGGGGAAGGGCACATAACCACACTTGGTGGGAGAGAACTATTTACAGTGCAGCAAGAAGAAGCCTGGGCTTCAAGGTTGTCCAGGTAATGACAATTCTGTAATTTGATTCTTTTAAAGACATTGTGAAATTCACATACAAAAATATGCATGAGGTTGCAATTTGCAATAGACAAATTCTGGAAACGCTCTAATAGTGAGCCCATAAATAAAGTTAAATGAGCAAAGACTTTAAGAGAATAGGGTAAAGAGCTGGAGGGATGACTCAGCAGTTAAAAGCACTGGCTGGGCCAGGCGTTGGTAGTGCTCCCCTTTAATCCCAGCACTCAGGAGGCAGAGGTAGGCAGATCTCTGTGAGTTCGAGGCCAGCCTGGTCTACAGACAAGTTCCAGGACTGGCTCCAAAGCTACAGAGAAACCCTGTCTCGACAAAACAAACAAAACAAACAAACAAAAAGCACTGGCTGATTTTGTAAAGGACCTGGGTTTATTCCCCAACACTGACATGGTGGCTCACAAGCATCAGGGGCTCCAGTTCCAGGGCATCTGATACTGTCTTCTGACTTCTATGGGTACCAGGCATGCCCATGGTACATAGACATACGTGCCAGTAAATGTCTAATACATAAAATAATAAAACTAAGTTAAATCTACAAAATATAGGTTATATAGCCAGGTCTGGGGAATATATGACTACCTATAATCCCAGCACATTTGGAAGGCAGAGACAGGAGGCTAGCCACAAGTTTGAGGCCAGACTACATAGTAAGTCTCAAGCCAGCAAAGGCAATATTTGAAGATTTTGTGGATAATAATTATCATTATTATTTATTATTGTTGTTATAAATTTATATTTTTTCTAAAATTAAAAAATTATAGTTTGTAGTGTCACATGCTTATAATCTTAGCACCCAGGAGACTGAAACAGAAGGACTATGTATTTGAGGTCTCTTGGGCTATATAATGAGACCTTGTCTCAAAAACTACAACAAAATGACAGGCCACACAGTTCTTATAAAGCTAGAAGTATCACAGTGGGTAAAGTAATATGCAGAATTGAAGTTCTCTATTGAAAGAAATGCCTGCCTGAAACCCTGGCTTCCAGCCTGTCTTAGTCAGGGCTTCTATTGCTAAGACAAAACACCATGACCAAAAAGCAAACTGGGGAGGAAAGGGTTTATTTGGCTTACTCTTCAGCATTGCTGTTCATCACTGAAGGAAATCAAGACAGGAACTAAAACAGAGCTGGATCCTGGAGGCAGGAGCTGATGCAGAGGCCATGGAAGGGAGCTGCTTACTGGCTTGCTTCACATAGCTTGCTCAACCTGCTTTCTTATAGAACCCAGGACCAGGACTAACAGTCCAGGGATGGCACCACCCACCGTGGGCTGGGCCCTCTCCTATTGATGACTAATTGAGAAGATGCCTTACAGCTGGATCTCATGGAGGCATTTCCTCAACTGAGGCTCCTTCCTCTGATGACTCTAGCTTGTGTCAAGTTGACACACAAAATCATCCAGTACACAGCCCAAGCACCACATAACTGGGTGTCATGATTTATGGCTGTCATAGCTGCCCTCCAGAGGTGTTGGCAAGATGATCAGAAATTCAGAATCCTCTGTTAACTAGTTCGATGTCAGCCTGAGATAAAGGAGATGTTGTTTTAAAACAAAAAAACTAAAAAGGGAGAAGTATGGGAGGATGTGTGTGTGTGTGTGTGTGTGTGTGTGTGTGTGTGTGTATTTTTTTAAAAAACTATGTATGAAAAAATGAAACAAATATGTTAAACTATTAATACTGGTTGCTGGGGACAGTGAAAGCTTAAGCGTCTCGTTATTTGTTTTTCCTGTGTGTATTCATTTTCCAAATGCTTTTCAATTAAAAAAAAAGTGTATTGTATAGCATGGTGGAAGAAGTATTAAATAGATTTTCAGTAAGAACAAAAGAGTTGGTGTCTGCTAAGAAGAACTGAAGGGGAAATCTAAAACCCACCTGTTAAAAGTGTGGTGAAGGAAGATGGAAAATGCCCCCTGTGGGAGAATGGAGGAAGACCCTCCCACAGTGATCACAGGAAAAGATTAACTTATGTCAGACAGTGTGACTTGAATCTGTGGTAAGTTGTGGGCAGGCAAAGAGGGCTGGGCCTTAAACTCCATCGCTCCCCC